GGTTTAGGTGGATCTTAAATAAGTCCTGGGTTTGGGGGACCAAAACAAGAATGTTTTGGCTGGATTCAGGACCTAGGGGATCCCAAAATTCCTTGTAGCTATTTCCAGCCTTCCTGGAGAGATACTGGAGTAAAGGTGGGGAACTTCTGGCCTCGAGGCCAAATGTAGCCACATTCCCCACCCCAGTAACCGGGGTAAGGTTGACATTGTGGGTGCAAACCATCTCTAGTTAGATTTAAACAGTATAATAATAAATTTTCCAAACATATAATACGGCATTCTTTCCACTAAGTATATAGGGACTTTTTTCTTTTCTGCACCTTCTTTGGGGTATAAGACCGATAATGGAGTCTGGTCCAAAGGATACAAACATTGTAGTCACTTTATTTGTGTAATTCCAAACTGCTTTCACCATTTCACAGCTCTATCAACCAGGACTAGCTGTTATTTTACATACACACCCTCCCCACCTATTCCTGCTACCCAGTGCTTCCATTATAGCTAGTTCTATTTCCTTTTCTGAGTTTGGATTATTTAGAATCTCTACCTGGTCTTCTAATAGGGTAAGAATGTTATATTTTTTGAAGGTATTCCTTAAGAGATATAACAAAAATGTCTGTTCCCATAAATTTGGAGCAAACAGCTAGAAGTTAGTTAAGTAGAAGAAAAGATTCCATAAAATTGAAACAACTGCTAAAGGTAACTAAGTAAAATGGGATAAAGCTGGTCTTACCTTGTTTTGCTGATAGAAGTTAGTAAGTAGGATAAAGATTAAGCTTTGCTTAGAGTGTGCCTGCTTAATAGGCTTATAAATATTAGCTTCTCCACCTCCAGGAGGGGCTAAGACACCATTTTCTGAATATGGGATGTATGAAGAAGGAAGGATGACATGTCAAGGAGTAGATGTGTAATAGGAGTACTGGAAAGTTGTATACTCTGGAGTACTCAGCCAATGAGGAAACAGAAGAGGGACTTTGCAGCCAGGATTAGAGATAAATGTTGAACTCCTGCTTTGGTGCAACATGTCCTAGGCCATAGGACACCTGCAGTTGCAGCTGCATGATAAACTGGGCTTTTAACTTCATCCCTCCTGAGTCCAAATGAGTTATTTCTCACATTCCTCTGTTGCTTTTATGAACTAAGTTTTGTTAGCATGTAACTGTGCATAATATATTATTATTATTCTTTTTATCTCTTCTGGTTTTATTATGATTTCACCTTGTTCATTTGCTGGTTTAGTGATTTTTCTGTTTCTTTTTAATCAGATTAGCCAAGAGTTTTTCAATTTTATTAGTCTTTTCAAAGTGCCAGTTTTTAGTTTTATTTATCATTTTAATGGGTTTTTTATTTCTAATTTATCTATCTATGCTGTAATTTTTAATTCTCCTCTTTTGTAGTTATTTTGTTTATTTGTTGGCTTTCTAATTTATAAATGCACATTCAGTCCATTAATCCTCTCTTTTTATAGTTTGTTAATGTATGTGTGCAAGGATGTGATTTTCTACCTGAGGACTGCTTTACCTGTGTCCCAGAAATTTTGGTATGTTTGTTTTCATCATTATATCTTTCTTTCTTTCTTTCTTCCTTTCATTGTGTCCAACTCTTCATGATCCCATTTGGGATACTGGAGTGATTTGCCATTTCCTTCTTCAGCTCATTTTATAAATGAAGAAACTGAGGCAAACAGGGTTAAGTGACTTGCCCAGGGTCCCACAGCTGGTAAGTGTCTGAGGCCACATTTGAACTGTGCCATCCAGCTGCCTTATCATTTTCTTTTACATGGTTATTAATTGTTTCTATGACTTGTTCTCTGACCCAGTTGTTATTTAGAATTTCATTGTTAAGTCTCCATTTGGGTCTGCATCTTTTGTTTGTGGTCCCATAACCAATTACTATCTTTATTGTGTGTTATGGTCTGTAAAGGATGTATGAACTATTTCTGCCTTTTTACATTTGTTTACAATATCTCTGTGCCTTAGTAGAGGATCAATTTTGCAAAAATTCTGTGTGGTGAAGAAAAATATGTGTATTCTTTTGCAATCCTATGTAGAAAATGCCATGAATCTTTTAACTCTAGTTTCTCCAGCAATTTACTGAGTCCCGTATTTCCCCTTTTGTTTACCTTTCTGTTAGACTTATCCAAAGTCGATAGAGGGATATTTAAGTCTCTTGTTACTGTTGTGTTACTGTTTGTGTCTTCTCGTAGCTCAGACTATGTTTCTTTTATGAATATGAATGCTAAGGCATTTGGAACACGTACATTTATTACTGATATTGGTTTATTGTCTGTGGTTCCTTTTAGTACGATGTGGTTTCCTTGTTTATACTTTTTCATTTTTTTGAATACTTGTTTTTGCTTTGTCAGATAGCATAATTTACAACTCCTGATTTTTTGGATTCTCTTGATGCATAGTAAATCCCCGCCCCTTCAGTTTTATTTAGTGTATATCTTTGCTTTTTAAGTATATTTCTTGTAAGCAACAGATTGTAGGGTTTTGTTTTCTAATCCAATCTGTCACTCTTTTTCATTTTATTGGATTTTTTAATCCATTCACATTTAAAGTTATAAGAGTTAGGTTTCTATTTTCTTCCAATTTTTTTCCCCAAGTCATGATTTTTCCCTCTTTTGCTATAAACTTAGTATTATATTTCTTCAGTTACTTTACTTCAATTTTTTTTTTAGGTGGCCCTATTACTTCTGGCTTTCTTCTCACCTGTGATTTCCTCTTTTTGTTTGTAACCCCTTTCCCCTCCAGGTTTTGCTTATTAGTTCCTTTTTGTCTCCTGCTTTTATCTATAAAATATAATTATTTCCCCCCTGCCTTTTATTCTTAGTCATGTAGATTCCTTTCTTTTCCCTTCCCCTCCAACTAGTATTGTTCATTATTTTTCAAAATTCTTTTTTGTTTTTGCACCCGTTTCCAAAAAGGATTTCTCTCACTCTTGCTATCCACACTGTCTTTCTCTGTGCTCTCTGACTCTCTGATTCATGACCCCTGTAATTATCTGGTCTCTCTCCTTTCTCTGTATTCCTCATGCAATCAAAGCTCCCAAGTTAACAATTCTGTACTCGCCCTTCTAGGAGGTTTTTGCTACTGCCTTGTAGGGCTTGCCCCAGGGATCACCCTTTTCCACTGCATCTCACTTCCAGGACAATGTCAATTATTATAGGTATCAGAGAGTTTGCTGCCCCATAGTAGTGTCATTCCCCGAGTGTGTCCTTGATCGTACAGTCCACCACTGATCTACATCCTCCCCTGGTTACTCTTTTCCACCCACATTTGGCTCAAATCTACTCCCTGGGTCTGTGCTCTACCATTCCCCACCATGTTCCAGTTTCCCCTCGGGGTTCTAACTCCCTGCACCTGCCTCTCCCCCCTCCCATCAGCATAGGATGAACAGACTTTTCAAGTACCAGATCTTCCAGGTCACACCCCGTGTGAGGTCCCCACCTCTCTTCACCCATCGGTGGGTGCATCAGTGCTCCCTCCTATCTCCTCTCCCCCACTTTTCATTCCCCTCCACCTCCACTTCTCACTTACTCCTCGGAAGGCTCCTTCTCTTTCTGATCCCACAGGGAAAGCCTTGCCTTCACTTCTAGCCTTCTATTTGACCCTGGCACGTCACAGATTCCTTTATTTCCCTCCTTCCTTCCCCTCCTTTCACGAACACTCCTGTGTTGTGATGTAGTCCCACAGAAATACCTTGATGCACCTGTAGGCAGGCTGTGTCCAGGTTCTGTCCTTAATGCCACTTGTTTGCCTCTTCACTATTACTTTTACAAGATTTCCACGCACAGTTTCTGTTTTGGAGAGTAAGAGACAACATCTAGTTCTCCATCTTGTTGCTCTTGTGTCTGAAGCTATTGATCTTTTTATTCTGTTTTCTTTGTGGCACCAAAATTGCTGCTCCCCCAAATATGATTTCTTGTGAGCAAAGGATTATAGACTTAGAATTGGGAGGGACCTTAGAGACCCTTTAGTCTAATCTCCTCTTTTTACAGGTGAGGAAAATTCTACCTCAATGCTCCAGTAATTCATTTAAGAAAGTCTTTTTCTAGTCAGGTGGGAATCTAGAGAGAACTTTTTTGTTGGTAAAATCAATAATAGCTAACATTTATATAGCATTTACTATGTGCCAGGCACAGGGCTAAGCACTTTACAATTATTATCTCACTTAATCCTCACAACAACCCTGAGAGATAGGTGTAATTATTATCCTCCCTATTTTACAAATGAGGAAACTGAGTCAAACAGAGGTTAAGTAACTTGTCCAGAGTCACACAACTAGTCAATATCTCAGGCCAGACTAGAATTCAGGTCTTCTTAACTCCTGGCCTAACACTGTATCCATTGTACCAGTCTAACTGCCCAGGCATTGAAATGGCAGCAAAGTTGGAGGGGGGGGATAGGATAAATTTCTTACCTCGCACAAAATATGTTATTGACTTAGCCAAGGCACATGGTTTCTTCCAATTCTATACTATTATCATAATGTTCTTTTGGTGAATTTGAAAGAGTTTGACCAAAATGGTAATGTTAGGGCAAGAAGCCACTGTCCTAAAGTTTTTAGGATTTTACTCAATTAAAAAAAAATCCTCTTCTAAGTAAATGGTTCCATTAAAACAAAGCCAGACACTGAGTGATAGTAATGACCAATCTTGGCCACAAAAAAGAGATGAAGAAACATGCCCTTCTCCTTTTAGCATAGAAGTGGGAACCGTAGGACAAAATGTCACATACATGGTGAGATGTAGTCACTTCATTGGTTGTGTTTACTTAATTCTCTTTGTTACAGGAAAGGGCTCATTGAGTGAAAGTAGTGGGGAATATTGGCATATTACTGTAATGTGAAAATTAAAAACATGTTTTAAAAACTCCTCATTATATTTTAAAAGATCAAATAGTTCCTAGTTTTTAAAAAATTAAGTAATATCTCATTCTAGTATTTCAATTAATGCTGAAAATATCTTGATTTATCTCATTTATTATTTCTTTCAGAAACGCTTTGTTTTTAACTAAAGATAATTTTCATAGCAGCCTGCTTCCACTTAACCTTCCCAAGATGTTTGCGGTAATATTTTTATTTGATGATCTGGGGGGATAATTCATAGGGTGGTTTTGAGAAAAAATGCTTTGTAAAACAGAAAACCTATGTCCATGTGAGTAGTTATTATTATCTTTGTTCTTCCCACTTTTTGTTCAGTTGAATTCAGAAAAAAATGGTCTTAGGTCAAGTTGCTATGCTCTTATTGTTCTTTCATGTTTAATGTGGGTCAGACTGTTTTGCATGTGGGTAAAATGATTGATTATTGAATAAAATTATTGGATGTAGGTACTTCTAAGTCTTCACTGAAAGAAGTGCCTTCCAAGTAATATCTCATTTGGTCTTCATAACAACTCTAGGAGGTAGGTGCTATTATTATCTTCATGTTAGTGTTGAGGAAATTGAGGCAAACAGGTTAAAAGACTTGCTCAGGGTCACACGGTTAGCAAGTATTTGAGTCTGGATTTGAACTTGGGTCTTTCTGAATCCAGGCCCAGCACTCTATCCATTGTACTACCTAGCTGCCTACTTTCTTCAAAAGAGTACGTGAATGGTTCCATGCTGTCTTCAGGACTAATTCCACACATGTGGAAAGAGAGAAACACTGTTTTAGGAAACCTCAGATATACAAGGGAAGTTGGATTATCAACATTTTCCTGATTGCATGAAATAATGAAGAGTGAAATGAACAGAACCAAGAAAACATTGTATATATTTACAGCAATATTGTCTTAAGAACAACTTAGAGCAATTAAATCATTTTGACTATTATAAATACCCAAATTAGTTATAAAGGACCTATGAAAGAAGACATTATCTGCATCCAGAGAAAGAACTGATAAACAGAAGTACATATAGAATAATTTTACATATATATGTATATATACATACATACACACACACATATATATGTACATATATACACACAAATATTTGTGTTTAATGGTAGCTATCTCTAGAGTGGGATGGAGAGGAAGGAAAAAAGGGGGGAAAAGTTACATGATAATTTTATTATATATTTAAAAGGAATAGCAAGTTGCACATAATAGATTTGCAGTTTCATGTGTAATCATCTTTTTTTTTCTACTATGTTAAGGAAATGCTTGTTTTATTTCATAAATTAAAAATAAAATAAAAAAAGACAAACAGAAGGAGAGAATGATTCTTAAACAAAGCCTAAGAGAAAACCACAGCTTGAATACAAACTCAAATAGAATTCCTAGAAGAAATGAAACAGTTTAAAAAAGTTTTAAAATGTCATTATAAATGAAATGAGAGTATGTGAAGGAAAAAAAAAGTTGGAAAAGAAATAAGAGCTATGGACAAAGGACTTAGGGAATTAATGGATTGGTACAAGATGTGCAAAACCTTCCCCAAGCAAAAAATTCCCTGAAAATCAGAGTGGACCAAATAGCCAATGATTCCATGAGACAACAAGAAATATTGAAACTAAGTCAAAAGTCTGAAAAAAAAAATAGAAGAAAATTTAAAGTATCTCATATAGAAAAAACAACAGACCTGGAAAACAGATTGAGAAGGAAAAAAATAAGAATTATTAGACAATCTGAATGCCATGACAGAGAGAGGGAGAGAGAGGGGTGGGGGAGGGGGAGAGAGAGAGAGAGAGAGAGAGAGAGAGAGAGACAGAGAGAGAGACAGAGAGAGAGACAGAGAGAGCGAGAAAGCCTAGACATCCTATTTCAAGAAATCTTAAAAGAAAACTACCCAGGTTGCTTAGAATCAGGGGGTAAAGTAGAAATAGAAAGAATCCACCACTCACCTCCTGAAAGAAACTCCAAAATGAAAACTCCTAGGAATATCATAGCCAAAATCCAGAGCTTCCTAGTCAAAGGAAAAAAAATACTGCAAGTATCCAGAAAGAAAGAATTCAAGAACAACAGAGCCACAGTCAAGAATGTGATATAACAGCTGCTCCTCTAAAGCAATGGGGAACTTGGAAGGTGATATTCCAGAAGAAAGCAAGAAGGATGATTACTGAGAAGAGGCCATTTGGATCCATGAGGGATCATTGGTAATTTTGAGGAAGTCAATTTCAGTGAAGTGGTGAGGTTGCAAGCCAGACTGCAGAGAGTTAAAGGAGTGAGAGGCGAGGAAATGGAGGCATCAATTCTAGATAGCTTTGTCTAGGAGTTTGGCCAGAAAAGGGAGAAGAGGAAGAGAGTAAAAAGATAACTAGCAGGGATGGATGGATGGATCAAGTGAGGATTTGGAGTTGGTTTTTTTTCTTTTGTTTGTTTGTTTGTGTTTGAGAATGAGGGAGACACGGCTATGTTTGTAGGGAGAAAGGAAGCAACCAGTAGGCAGGGAGGGACTAAAGATGAACGAGAGTAGGGATGACAGATAGAAGAGGAAGACAGGAGCTCCTCCTGGGCAAAGTCTCTGAAAGCCCAGTTTAGACAATAGAGCAACATCAACAGCAGGGCATAAGGTGGCAAGAAAGAGTTTTGCCTGGGCAAGATGGCCTTTTGTCTTCAGTATGCCCTCAAATCTAGGTCATCATTCATGGACTGTAGAACATAGAGCTGAGAGGGACATTAGAGATAAGTTAGTCCTTCCTCCTTATTTTAGACTTATTTAGATATTATTTATCCTTATTCAGATGAGGAAACTGAGGTTGAAATAAAGTTAAGTGACTTTTCCAAGGTTATGTAGATAAAAATGATCAGACCCAGTATTTGAACTGAAGTTTTCTTTTCAATTATTATTGGCCAAAAAAGTCATGAACATATGTGTCTAGAAATACTGCTTTCATAATTATTAATATGACTAATATGCATTATTTTTATTAGGTTAAAAGTCCAAATGTATCAGCAGCTGTTTATTCCTCTTCATGTATATTGTTGATAATAAATGGAAATGTCTATGCTTATGATTATGAAGATGGTTCCTGGTCAATTCTTCTAAGTATGTTTTTCACTTTTTTACATTCATTTGAACTACTCAATTATATAACTATAGGAAGGTTAGTTCATTTTGTAGGGATAAATTACTTTGTTCCTCTTGTTAGTAACCTTTATTCTGGATGTAAAACCAGAAAACAAATGAATTAAAAACGAAGTATTAAGCTCTTATGGCACAGAACTGACTAATTACTAGAGATACAGATGTAAAAGCCATTTAGTCCTTGCTTTATAGGAACTCACATTCTAATGGGGAAGACAGTATGTATAGGTGGGTTCAGCTACAAGGGAGATGGAAAGGCCTAATGACTCTATTGAAGGAATAATACATCTTCTTTAGTGTCATTTCCACCAATAAAACCATATCCATTTCTGACATTAAACCATTTGACTGTGCTAAGAACTTTCGTTGGTAAGAACTTTCTTTTTTGGGTGTTTAGTAGCTGTGGTTGTTGATAAAGGAGGGACTAGAGCCACCTGCATTTACCAGGACTTGTCATCCACTACCCTGGATAGTCAGATCGGAAGCCAATATGATGGTTAGGGGAACCCCAGGTAGTGGTAGGTCAGTGATCCAGCAAAAGTGAGGGGTAATAGATAGAAAGCACTATCCCTAAGTTGGTGCACTTCAATATCCCAATGGATCTGTCGTGATCATATGGATTTGGGCACTCCATCAGTGCAGGTTGCAACTTCTCCATCACTTTTCATTTTATTAATGTGCTTCAACAGTTCTATCATAGAGAATACACCTAAGGTATTAGAGTCTTTCATCCCCTAGGCTTTTTTTACATCTCGTGGGTATCAGGGCAGCAGTTGGGCTATCCATATGTTATCTCTTACTTTCTTGACACAAAGGAAGTCTACTTCCTGATCCTACATATACTCAATGAGATCCTTACATCTTTTAAAAAAATTTTAAACATTTCTTTAAAGTTTGAAGTCCAATTCCTCCCTCTCTCAGTCCCTTCCCCACCCATTGAGGAGGCAAGCAATATGATTCCCACTATATACCCAGAATATATTTCTATATTAGTGTCACAAATAAAATTCAATATAGGTAGACTGAGATACATTCTCTTCTAGCAAGATAACATTTTATTAACGGGGTGCTCCTTGCTAATAGAATGGGTCCGTGGCTTGCCTCAGTTTAGCCAAAGATCCTTAGATGAAGACTTAGCTCATTTTTATAAAATTAGGGCAAAGAACAGAATAGGGTAGGTGATATCATGGGGTTGCAGAGAGCATGATTGGTTGGAAATTGGGAATGAAGGACTAACAACAACCCCTTACCCACAGAAGGGGACTCCTGTGACTAAGAAATGTTCATTATTTGAGTCCATTGGCAAGGTTAAAGATAGTGGGCCAGATTTCTTTGGATAGCAAACCAGATATCCTTGAAGGATAGCTTGGTGGCATAAAGATACTAGGCCAGTAACCCTGATGTCCACTCACATTCCTCAAGGAGAGCAGATTTCCTTGAGACAAGAATGGGACAGTGATTAGCAGGAGAACTAGATTTTTAAACAACTCATTACAGGTCATCTGAAAGTCTACACTAATTTCAGAGACAAAGAACCATGACATAGGCAATTACATGACAAAAACAATTAATTGTAAATAGGATCAATAAAAATGATACAGATTCAATTTAATCTCATTAGCCAGGTTACAAAAAAGACAAGAAAAATAAAGTGAAACAATTGCTTATACCACTTAAGTATAAATTATCATTGGAAATATACTGTAGCCTGCTTGTGCCAACCAGGATCACTCCATTACACTTGGGATCACCTACATCTTTAATTTTTTGGAGGCTGTGATATTTATGTTGAAAATATAGGTCTTTGCATCATGAAGCTCCTTGGGATAATTACTGTGTATATTTTCAAAGGCTTACTGTCAAACTCTTCAATTCCATGCCCAACTCATTGTCTTTCCGCAGCACCTGCCTCTGATATATGAACCAACTTGGTGGATTGTCCATCCAGCTGCACGTCCTGTTCTGAACATAAGGCATTTTTTCATCCATTTCTTTGTTATGTGTGGACTATCAGGATGATCTTCATTGAATAATTATGAATCACATTTAGGAGGCCTTGTAATGTTTTGGGGCTTGATGCACTGGGCATAGTGGCATCCTCAAGCAGGAGCGTGTGGAAGATCTTTCCATCTAAAGGAAATTCTTCTACTTGGACCCATGTGACATTAGCAGAAACCTCTGAAGACCATGCATCTCCTTGTGTTATGCCTTGATTAACATGATTAATTAAAGGATCATTGGATGAAGTGATTACATTTGTCAGGGAATCTTATATGATTTTAACACACATATGAGAGATTCTTTTGTGGAAGAGTGCCAGTAAGGATGCATTTTATTCTCCCAAATGTAGGGTTTTTTCTCCCAATCAACAAACAATAAAATAGGATCTTATATTTTCTATCAGTTGTGTGACAGTAAAGCTATAGTCTCCCATAGGTTTATCATCCTGGAGAATCACATTATTCCAAAAATATTTGTGGGTGAAACTTGCAGGACAACCATAAGTAGATATAAAATAGAAAAAGTCATAAATAATTCTAGTGAGAGAAAAAAAAAACAACATTGCATTTAGACCACCCTCGCTTCTCAGTCCCTAGTGTGCTATATGAAGAAGTTGAAAGAGCACTTGGGATTACAAAGTTAGTAAGAGCAACTCAACTGGACCAAGAATATGTGGAATAAATCCATGCTAGATTCACCAAGAATTATTTTACAAGATATCTTGGGGGGAGGAAAAGATATCAAAATGTGAGGGAAAAAACCCACAAGAGACCACCTGGGAGTTCTAGTTTAGCTGGTGGTATGAAATATTTTCTTTTTCTTTTTTTTTTTAAGGCAACTGGGGTTAAGTGACTTGCCCAGGGTCACACAGCTAGTAAGTGTCAAGTGTTTGGTCTGAGGCCAGATTTGAACTCAGGTACTACTGACTTCAGGGCCGGTGCTCTATCCGCTGCACCACCTAGCTGCCCCTGAAATATTTTCTAGGAACCCCACTCTCCAATGTATACTCCAGCAAAAATCTTAAACAAACATTAGACCAAATAATGATCAAGAAATCTAAAGAGAAACAACAGAAAAAACCCTCAACCAGCCCATAAAGAAACAAACAAAAAAGATTACTGAAAGCCTGAAGGACCTTACATCAGGGAAGCTGGCAAGTTCAGGTAAACAAACCAGATGTCTAGCCAGTGCTTCATCCTTGGAAACTTAAGCTCTTTGTTTTTGGGAGCCAAGAAAGTCATACATCAGGATTGAGAAGATTCAGCAGGGTCAGAAATCTATAGCACTCTGATCATGGAAATGGACCCTTAGCACACTGATTGGGAAGCCCCATGGAATCCACAACACCTTGACCTGAGAGGATCCAAAGAGCCATGAAGAACAGAGTGGTCTAGATCTGGAGGGGTGCCTAAAACTTATCAGTACAGACAAACCAGGGAAGTGGAAGCCAGAGAAAGGAGCCCAGGAAGTCAAGGTGAGTATCAAACAAGGCCCATCCCAGATTGTAGGATGGGGAAGATCCTGGCCTTGGAATAAAGCCCAAATCAGAAACTGGGGCTGAAGATATGAGTAAACAAAAGAAGACACTGAACACTGATGAAATATTGTGGAGTAAAAAAACAATGCTCAAGAGCTAAACCCAAAAGAAGAGAGTACCTTCATAACTACAAGCAGAGCCTCAGGAAAAAAAAAATTATTTGGCCTCAAGGGCTATCAGAGTACCTGGGAGGAATGAAGGAAGAGGTAAATAAATGAAATTATAAGTGAATAAAGAGCTTTGGCGTAAAGAATTGGAAGGAGAATAACTTAGAACAGAAAGGGGAAAAACTTTACCCAGACTCGTGAAAATCGGAATAGATTTAGAAAAGAACTCAATGACTCCATGGCACAAAAGAAATATTAGAACAAGATATAAAAATGGGAAAGAATAGAAAAAATGTAAAGCGTCTACAATCCAAAACAACTATTTTAGAAAAAGTTAAGGAGAGTTAATTTAAGAGTCGTCAGACTTCCTGAAAGTCATGACCAAACAATAAACATGGACAAAATGTTTTAAGAAGTTATGAATGGAAACTGACTAGATGTTCGAATCAGAGGGTAAAGTGAAATTAGAAAGAGTCCACCAGTGACTTCCTGAAACACCCAATCAAAAACTCCCAGGGAATGTTGTTGTCAAAATCCAGAGCCTCTGGGTCAAAGATACTACATACTACAAGATACATACTGCAAGATGCTAGCAAGAGCTCAAGTACCAAAAACAAAACAAACAAAAAAACAAAAAACATCCCCCAAAAACTCACCAAAAAAAAAACCCATGGCTAGAATTATATAAGATCCGGAAGTAACTACTTTATCTTGGAACACAATATTCCAAAAGGCAAGAGATAGAGGCATATAGTCAAGGACAACCTATTCTGTAAATCTGTATAAGGTTGCGGGAGCGGGGGGGGGGGAATGGATCTTTGATAGAATAGAGGATTTTCAAGCATTCCTGATGAAAATGACCAGAGCTGCATAAAATTTTTGAAATTCAGGTGTCAGAGGAAACCTAGAAAGGGAAATATATTTGAGCAATTCAAAGGGGCTTTATAAATATTGATGATGGACTAACATTCTAACATATTAAGAAGGAGAGAAGAGACAAGGGTTCCCTTCAGAATCCTAATGATTTCAAGGATCACAGAAGGAGTTAAATAAGACAATCAATGGGTCTAGGAATAGTTTTATTGTATATTAATGGTGTTAAGAGATGAAATAAGAGGGAGGGGAAAAGAAATACATTAGGGATAAAATGATGAAGGGGCTAGAACTTACTATTTCTCATAATTGGCATGCTAAAGAAAAAGATGGAGAAGAGAAGATGGAGAATAATGGATGAGAGGAAGCAAACATCACATAAGCCTTAATCTTATTTCACTGGACACACATATTTCAAAATGTATTAAATTCAACAAGGAAAC